AGACACAACAATATATACAATAGATAAGGAAAAGAAGCAAAATCACTTGAAATGAATCCTGTTTAAACTGCAGAAAAAGTGTAGGTTGACAAAACAGCAATCAGATGGACTGTGGCAGAAATATTATTGCTCCTCATCCTTGTGAATTGTGCCATCAGCTTGGAATGAACATGCAAAATCAGATCTTCAGGATCACATATGTATCCAAAAGCATTCGGGCAAGACAACAATGTCAATAGAGTAAGGAACTTCTCGACACAGCCAGAGATACAGTACAAGTAGCAACTGAATGATTTCTTTGGATGATGGGAACACAGCTTCGCACTGGTTTGGGGCATATTTGTATACTGGGCAGGAATACAGTCTGAGATTTATGGTATTTTGGAAGGAATTAGCATGTTGTTGACTTATAGCAATAGAGCAGAAAAAGCCACAAATATCATTTCAGACCATTACCACAAACTTGGTGACACTAATAAAATGAGACCCAACTATGAAACACCTCTTGTTTTATCATTGCAAAAGCAAATCTCAGTGATTTTATTTGTGAAGACGCATTCATTTTTTCATCTTCATCTGAAGAACATGTAAATCAAAACTATAAGCAGTCTCACAAAAGATACCCACAAGACTTCAGAGAATAAGCAAAATCTGAAGAAAATCATTTCTCTGTTTTGATTTAGATTTTAAATCAAGGGCTTTGAAGAAAATTGCCAGAATTCAAACCCAACAAATTCTGGCCTCACTATGTTTATGTTTATCTGTCATAGTGAATATAAACAATAAAGCAAACATTTAAGACACACCACAATCTATCTCAACAGATCTAACCTGAGAGTTCATACAGAAAAAAACTGCTTTGCAATTGTGAGCCAAAAACTTCATGAATGAAAGCTATTTAGAACTGAATAGACAACACTAATAGTTGTACATAGAAATCTGTTTGGACTTTAAAAAAAAAGTAAAACATTATCTGAATAATTTCAGACTTCTCTGTAGATTATTCATCTCTATGCAACATTTTAGGTTAATGCAACACAAGATAAATAATATTTTTTATTATATGTAGGAGTTAGCATCAGTACAATTATTAAAATTTGCACATATTAATAAAAATAGGAAAAAAACCCACAAGGTTATTTTTCAAAACAAAGATTATTTTCCATTTTAAAGATTACCCAATTTTCATCATTTAGATTCTAGAATGTACTTAAAATATACTGATAAAAGTACATCATTTTAACCATTATTCTGCTTTCTGCAGTAAGTAAATGGTAACAATAGAAACTACTGGGAAAGAAAATAACAGAGATAATCCAAATTATACACCTAGAAAATTACAAATGAAATTACTTAGTTAAACTTATATTCTTATATAAAAAAGACTTCTTTTTTTTTTTTTTTAATAAAAAGGTCTTCAGATTCCATAAATGATAATATACAAATTCTAGCCACCAAATACAACTCTCTCTCTCTCTTTAAATATATATATATATTGTGGTCCTTGGCAAATTGTTCAATACCATTTTATTATTCAAAAATCTTCTCAGTCTAGTTATCAGCATAAATTGAATGTTGCCAGAATAGGCTATTACAAATATTGCCTCATTAGAATGCATTCTTGGGGCTTTTTTTTTTTTTTTTCCACTGAAATTAACAATGTGGCATATTTTATTCTTGCAGAAGTCAAATGCTCATATCAATCTAAAAAGCACGGTACAAATCTCTATCCTATTCACCTGCAGTGTTGCCCTCCAAAAAATGAAGAAAAATAACTTCAATAATTTGATGACAAAAGATGTATTCATAGTTCAAACTCTGACTTCTTCAGGAAAGTTACTGTGTATAAATGCCAGTTGTACTATTTAGCGAGAAATGGAAGAGTTCTTCTGAGGCACTGAGTGCAGTCCCTACTACCAAGCTTTCGCCACACATAGCCAGCTCACCAGGATCCTTATAAACAGGGATCTGTCTCAACCTGTTTGTTAACCTTGGAGTTGAGCCCTTCTGCATTTTCAGCTCCAATCTGAACTTATTCAAAGCAACACTCCTTTGGTTTTGCGTCAGCAACAGCTTTCAAGGTAAGTATTTATGTCTCATAGATAAACAGTTTTTAATCAAAATAATCACCCTTTATGGCAGAAATATTAAAAATCACCTTATCTAAACACAGGTCTAGTTGCTACCTTCTGGCATTTTTATTTAAAAATGATACTCACACATTACTGTGAGAGAGATTTTATGAACTCTTTATACTTTAATGTTTGACAAGTGCATCTTACATTTGTATATACATGCAAATAAATATTTTTCAAACTTTTTCTTTCCAATTTTCACTGTTCTCATACTTACATTTATTGCCAAATCTTCTCGTTTTCTTGTACCATTCACAAGGCTTGTAGAGTATAACTTCTTATACAGTATATAGAACTGGGGTTTAAATTTCTCTGTGGCCTCTAATGGCCACCATGACACTTATTTCCTCGTGTCCTTCCACACAACTTTGCAAGCTCCCTCAACTTCTAGAGATCCTGCAGTAAGGTTCAAACACAGCAGTAAGACATCCATAGACATCCATATCATAATGCTCATAAGTTCTGTCCCTTCACTTTCTATTTACTATTTACAGTACTCTCTTTAATTTTACTCTTAATTTTTTCATTCTCTTTCTGTTAATGTCTCTTTCCACCCTGTGCCACCTGTTGATACACAAAGCTTAAAAAAGAAACACGATAAGAGGTGACTGCAACAAGTTTGAATAGCCACAAGGAAGAGGTAAAAAGCCTGGCCTTGAATGCCTCCAGGGATGGGGCATCCACAACCCCCTTGGGCAACCTGTTCCAGTGAATCACCACCTTCTGTGTGAAAAACTTCCTCCTAATATCTAACCTAAACCTCCCCTGTCTCAGGTGCATGAGAAGTGCCAAGACACATATAGCTATGACTTTAAATGAACAACTAGCGACTGAACCAAGACAACAAAATGACAAGGTCCAAAATATGGGAGTGTCACTTTAACATTAAAATTTATATGTGACTTGTGATCTCTCCTAAAATTAACAGTGCTGTCTAGCCCTCCAAACTGCAGCTTTTTTTTTTTTTTTTTTTTTTTCCAAGAATGAAGAAATCACTGTAGTTGGGAGGGATGTCTGTAGTCCCTTTAAGCTGGTGTAACTCCTGCTTAGAGCAGAATCACCTTCAGCAAGTATCTCAAGGCCCATTATTGTGTCCTGATATTTGCAATGTTCAGACACGCCAGCCTCCCTAAGTAACCTGTGCCACTGCGCAACTATCCTCACAGTTTTCTCACGTGCCCTCACGTATTTTTTGATTCTACCCTCAAGAAACAAAGACAGGTGGGCATAAGCAAAAGTGATATATAAACAAGTAAAATAAAAGAAAGAAATGATATGATAAGAGATTCTCTAATTTAATTATTTGTAATTATCAAAAAGTAATTTCTATGGTCACCAGAGAAATTATCACATCGCTTAAACTGAGGACTCGCACAACTCTGAGAATCATTGTGAAGTTAAGTGCATGTTTGTGTTGTATAAAATGAAGAAAAAAAAGGTAAATACATGAAATTGAATTAGAACTTGCTTTACCATCTAATAAATAAATATTATTAAAAGCAGTATAACCACTCTCCCTCTCCTGCCTACACAATACTTTATCAACAACGCAACAGTTTAAACTTTTAAACAAAAACGTCTTAAGGTTGGCTTCTAAATTCCATTCAGCTTGCATTATGAAAGCAGCAGTTTCTAATTTTTTCAGTTTCTCAATCAGGTATTTACATATGGATGTTGCTGTGATTTTGACACTGCAGGGCAAGGAGTGTTTAAACAGCTGCAATTCAACCAGCACATAATCTGGAACACGTAAATTTTCTTTCAGCTCCTGTGATGAGAGGAGGAGCTACACAGAAAAGCTAACATACCCCACCCCTCCTTCTTGTATCTCAGAGTAAACAGTAAGTAAAATTTCTTCAGTATACCCTATGGATTTTTAGAAGGAAATTAAAAAAATAACTGAGAAAGATTAAAATACATACATATTCTATGTAACACCTGATTATTAGTATATATGCAGATGGAGAAAATAAATGATAGGTGATAACAGCCTGAGAACCTACAAATGACACAATACGGGGTCCAAGTCAGAGGCTATGAAGGGAAAACAGGATATCTCAGCTTATTCCATAAGGTCTTTTCTACACTCAAGTTTAATAAGAAAATAAAAAAGGTAAGTTAGGCAAAAACTCTTCTCATTAGTAATTATCAGGCAAATTTTACCTATGAAGTTCAGATACTACTAAAAAAAAGAAAGACAACAGTAATTGTGTAACAGGAACAGCCTCTGCAACAAAAAGAATATGACAAATCTCAATTAATACATGATTTAAGTATCATGCAGGATAACTACAGCTCGACATATGCTGAGATCAAAATACAGTATTCCACTTCATTCATAAGCTCCTGGAAACGATACACTGCCCTGTGTACGTGACTGCCCATTAACTGAATTAAATCCTTTCACCATTAAGTATTAGCCAACTGGCTAGAACATGACCGTGTAATTTCAGAACATTCTTTTACTACTTTCCTTTAACCAAACCAATTGCTTTTGGCTGGGGATTTAGAGGGTGTCATATCTCTTTCAGAACTATAGCACGTGTTAAACAAAATGCTATTATACTTGAAATATTCCCTGTTAAACTCAAAATGAACTTCAGGCAATGCTTGGAATGCATTTCTTTTATTTTCAGTTGCTTTTTTAGGCTTCTCAGCTACATTGCAGGATACAGGAAAAAAGGAACATAGTAAGAAAAAGTAACGTTAGAAAAAGAAAAAAAGTCAAAACCAAAAAAAATCAACTTCTAAGCATTTCCATAGACACCACTATGTGTTCCCAGCAAAGCTTTGGATAAAAGCAGCATTTAAAATTGGGTGTGAGGGATAGAAACTAGCAAAAGCTAGGAGTTTTTTGTCACTTACATTTATCCCAGAAGGTTGTTGCCATTACTTCGGCAGTGCTCTCACTGGCTGGAAGGATCATGTGACCCGGGAAACTAAAATAGAAAAGTCTCAGTAGCAAGGAAACTGAACCAGAAGCACATTTGCAAGAAAACACGTATCACGAGAGTAATAACACGCCCTTAGCAGTGAAAGGTGATAAATTTAGATGGAAATCTATCCTGTACTGAAAAACACTGCCTTGTGCCGTGCAGACTGGCACCAGTCCCCTGTTCAACACACGGGAAGCGTTTTCTGCAATAAATCTCAGTCCATGTCTATACGTAATTAAACCCAGTAACTGCTCTAATAAATCTCAACTAGTTGTCAGACGTTAAGAGAAAATCTAATCTATTACATTTAAAAATAAACTTCCACTGCTGAAACAGTTTCATCATCAGAGATTTCCATGGTTGTTTGCGTCTAGAAAGGAAGCAATTTTTTAAAAAGCATATGCTCTTCAAGTAATTAGAAAAGCTGTAAACACATTGGAAGATTGCTTTCAATTCTTTTATTAGTAATGTGGTTGCAGGGCTACACATTATTAAAGCATGCACTGTAAACCTGCAAATTCTAAATGAAGAGAAGGCTCAAAGAACCCAAGGCAAAGGCTGCAGAGATGAATTTGTGACCAAATATACCATATACAGTGCTATAATATTGCCTGATTTAGAGGTTGCTATTTATTTATCCGCATCAGAAGATAAAAAAATTGCTCTTCCAGTTTTGTAAAGCTTCTAGAAAAAAGTTCCAGCACAATAATGTTGTTTGGATTACAGGAAATACACATTACCTTTGTTAACAGTTAACTCTGTCACCATTTACTGTTTTATCAGATTTACTAGTAATCAGATTGATTCAATTCAATGTTTTATATTATGTAAAGCACTTAGTAATTCCTAATTAATGGCAGGATAATTTTACAGAAGAAAACTTTACTGAAAGATGCAAACAGCAGTATGAAGGGGACAGTGATCAAGGAAAAAATAAAAGAAATATGCTGTTTAGATTAATAGAACAAGGATGGGAAATAACTTATTGTTCTACTCAAATTCAGTCTTGCAATTATAAGCAAAATATGTAAATGTTTGCCCTTTGAATGCAATGGCTTTCAAGGGCTTTGCACAGAGTAACATGATGGACACAACGGCTAAGATTGGAAGGGACCTCTGGAGATCATCCAGTCCCACCTTCTTCCTCAGAGGCCCCTACAGCACATTACCCAGGACTGTGTCTAGATGACTTTTAAAGATTTCCAGAGAAGAAGACTCCACAGACTTTCTGGGCAGCCTATCTTGATGCTCAGTCACCCAGTTGTTTTTTTTTAATAAAACAGTAGAGAACACAATGCAAAACTGTTCACAGTAGACTCCCACTGTGCAATAAAAGTTGAAATAAGATGAAGAGAGGCCAGTAAACCAAGTTATTCTCATTTTATTGAAATAATATCAAGGTAATTCTTCATAATACCAAAATATTAAGTTTTCCCTCCAGATTGTACTTTTGTATCAACATACACATACATGTACTTCCTGGTGAACAAGAAGCTGAACATGAGCCAGAGAATGTGCTTGCAGCCCAGCAGACCAACTATGTACTGGGCTGCATTAAAGGTAGAGTGGCCGGCAGGGAGAAGAAAGTGATTGTCTCCCTCTAATCAGCTCTTATGAGGTCCCATTTGAAGTAAGGCATCCAGGCCTGGAGACCCCAGCATAACAAAGATGCAGAGCTCTTGGAACCGGTCCAGAGGCCATTCTATGATCAGATGGGCACCTCTTTTATGGAGAAAGGTTGAGGTCTCGTTTAGCTTGGAGAAAAGAAGGTTCTGGGAAGACCTCATTGTGGCCTTCTGGTCCTGACAGGAGCATATAAACAGGAGGGGGAATGACTGCTTACATGGCTTGATAGTGATAGGGCAAGCAGGAATGGTTTTAAACTGAGGCAGGGGAGGTTTAGGTTAGATATTAGGAAGAAGTTTTTCACTCAGAGGACACACTGGAACAGGTTGCCCAATAAGGTTGTGGATACCCCATCCCTGGGGGCATTCAAGGTCAGGTTGGATGTGGCTTTGGGCAGCCTGGTCTGGTGGTTGGCAATCCTGCCTGTAGAAAGGGGGTGGAAACTTTATCAAGTTTCTTTAAGGTCCTTTTCAACCCAGGCCATTCTATGATTCCATACATATACATTTATATTATGTATGTATAAAATCAGAGTCTTTTAAAATCAAAACTGATACTTTGATACAACATAACCAAGATCTGTTTTACTCCACAGGTTACCCCAGAACTTACAATGAGTATTTTACAAAGTGTGGTACTAGTTCATGTATAATATAGTAATATCAAAAAGCTGTTATCTTCCCTGCTTACACTTTGACTGTGCTGTTTAGTAAACACTAGGACAGAACTGAATCTAATAGAAAATTTTCATTGATTGCAATTAGAGGACTATTGGACCAATGGAAACAATGGAGAAAATAGTGACTTATGAAATCATAGAATCATTAAGGAAAAGCCTACTAAAATAATCTAAGCCAACAACTGAACCATCACCACCATGCCCACTAAAGCATTCTCTAAGAAAACTGGTTACAATTACGTACTCTTCATTCAAGCCTCTTAGATCAATGAAAAGTCATCTCTTATGTAATTTTTCAATGTAATATTTTACTGCTAGCAGACTTTACTATCTGTCAGAGAATGTTAAGATATGTGTTAACGCCCTTTTGAGAATATTGTCACAGCATCAACCTTTGTGGTCAAACTTACACCATTTTAGATGTTTTATGCCATAGTTTCCCACATAGCACTTTATAGTTTGAAATTATGAAAGCTGCAAAAGATACAGAGGAAGAAATTCCAAAATGAATAACTTAATGCAAAACTAACTTGTAGGCGAAGACAGTGAATCAAATAACTACAGGAACAAAAAGGGGAAAAATGCACACTCTCTTTGAGGAGAAAAGCATGCAAAAGAAGCAGCACATCATCTACAAGAGTAGAGAGCCTTAGGTGAAAAAGATGAAAGAATGCCTGTAAATCCTGGAGCCGAATACAAGGAAACCAGGAACAAAGCAGAACATCTGCTTGCACAGCTGAAACCACGGCACAAGGTCTGTTATTCTACAAACCTCCTCCTCCCATTTATTAACATAGATGGATAAATATATTAGTGCATTGCCCAAGTGTACTCATCAAATGAGAAATTTGAATTTCAATACTCAATTGAATATTTATTTACTCAAATATCACCCAATATAGAACTAATATTTTATAAAATTTCTACTGAAAGTGTGATAGAGGCAAATGCATTTGACAATCTCATACTATACCTAAAGTGATGGCACATTCTGGTTTTCCAATTATCAGTTCATGACTAAAGAATACTATTAAAACAGTGTGCAGAACAGTTTTATCAATTTAAATTTTTTGAACTGTATACCTGTATTCTTACCTTCTTCCCTAACCAAGCCTTTAAGCCAGGGAAAAAACAAGTAATCTTTTTCAAGTTGTGTTCACTTACTGTCCAGAGATGTGACTAGCTTGAAGTCATTTCATGAGAGAGTCTCTCTATAAGTTAATAGAATAATTAACAAGCAAAACAGCAAGGCCAGAAGGTTATTCCATATCTATTTTTAGACACATTATTTTGATCACCTTCTGTTCATAATACTAATACATCCTCAAACAAATTTTCTTCAGCAGCACCAAATTTAAGTATTTCTGCTATCACCAAATTTCAATACTTTTTAAAGGAACCGTTCTCAGCAAAAAATATGGAATATTTCAGGAGAAACATACAGAAATTGATTAATAGTAACTTCCTTATCCACATGGGGTATTTTCAAAATAAGAGCAGAGAACTACTGCACATTTTTAGTTCTAACTGGCCTACAAAACAGGACTAAATTATATCACTATTTAAATCTCTCTCTCTTCTGTATAACTGTAATCCAGAGCCATTTGAACAAACTCTAGTAATCCTGGTGCAAAAATTTGTTTTTTAAGAGCCTAAAGATCAGCCTTTGAAACACATGGCTCCCTAATTTCTTTAAACTCACCCACATGTCTCTGCAAATTTACTAGTTCCTAGTGATAAATCTGGTCAAAGCGCTAACACACACGTTACACGCAAGCTGTTCTCATGGAAAACATTATCCTCATGTAAAATATTTAAGCACATGTAGTGAACATCTATAATTGAAGATATCAAGTAGTAGTACAAAGGATCATATCACCTCCCCTCCTGGAAAAAAAAATCCAATCAGTTTTATTTGAGTAATAATAAAAATTCCTCCTACTCCAGAGATGACTGCTTCTACAAAAAAGTTTTTTTCTTCTTGTTTAAAATTCATTCTCAATTTTCATCCGTACCAAATAAAACAATCCCTAAAAGAAACATAAAGACAAATTTTGTGCTGCAAGTGAGAAGAGCATAAAAATGAGGCATTTCCTGATCTGTTTATATATATTATATAATATTTCATGAATCTGAGAACAATTTTGCTACTAGCTTTCAGAATATTCTCGATAGATAAGCCAGTTTTATGCAGTCCTTACATCCTCTAATAGGTAAAAAATGAAAAACCTAGGATTATATTGCTTTCTGTAGGGTAACAAGTAACTGCACAACTAAGAGTCTAGTCAGCGCACAGGAGCATTGAAACTTTCACAGAAAATCTCAGGCTGAAACAGGTTTTTTTTGCATACAAGATATTTGTAATCAAATTAGGTTCACCATCAATCAAATATGTAATTTGGACTTCACATTTTCCATACGCTGTTAGGTAACAAACTGGCATCATCATCATGTCTGCTCAATAAGGGTTGGGATTTGTATGAACAAATTAATTCCTAGAAACATAATGTTAGAAGTGGTTTAAATCAAAAGGTTAAACAAATTAATTTTCTTGTAACAGCTGTAGAGCATCAAAGTAGACAAAGTCCATTAAAGGCAGTGGACAGATTCCTTTTATACGCAGTGGACTTTATAACAAACCCAAGAGCATCCAGAAACTCTTTATACATACATAGTAGGTTTGTTTTTCTCCCATGATTAATTTCATGAGTACCTAATA